CCCTTCCCTTCCCTTCCCTTCCCTTCCCTTCCCTTCCCTTCCCTTCCATCCCCTACCATTCTCAGCCACCAGTTGTGTTTTTCCTCTTTCTCACCCTTCTCCTACTCGACACTAGGAGACCAGATAATGACATTCTCCCTTCCTTCTGAGGTGCAAACGGAAATTGGCCGGAGATGGCACGGTAAGAGATATGGACTTATGCCAGTTTGGAGAAGGACAAGATGGACTGTGCCAACCAGTTCTGGAGTAAAAATGAATACATCTGTGTGCTAAGGACAGCCTCAGAATCTGGAGAAATCAGAATAATAAGCATGATTAGGGAAAACAAACAACAGCAAAAAAATTCTTAACAATGACACTTTATTGAGAGCAAATTGGAGGAAGATCCACTTCTGCAGAAATTCTGCCCACCATCTATCTCTTACACTATAAGTGCTGAAGTGATGGATTGACTGATTTTCCAATTATAATTGCCCTCTCATGGATAAACCACTGCAACACAAACTGCAGATATTGCCTCTTTTTCATTCCCTGTCCGTACTCTCTTATTAATGAATTGTGTAGCATAATGTGTCAGGGAGTGGGCACCAGGAGCACCCTTCAGTGACACCATAAATGACCATCTCTGGAAATAAGTACTCAGTCTTCACACAATGGGCGCAGGAGTCTATTCAGCTTGTTCAATATTTGTTTTCTATTTCAACTCTGTAGAGATGCAATGCCTTGTCAAGAAATGAAATGCCTTGTCAAACTGCAACACATGACTAAAAACTTCTGTTTCTTCTTCTATTCTCTATTTACATAAAATAGTCTCAATATACATGGCAAAAACAAATACACTCTCATATTCAAATGTTATTCCAGTAACTACAGAAGTCTTCTGAAAGCCAAATATCAGAAAGAAGAGGAAACAGCTCCATAAGATAGTCATTAAGAAATAACTGCTCTTTGCAAGATAATTCAAAAGAAAAGTAATAAACGTGTTCTGCACAGAAGAGAAGGGCTAGGGGAGCATTAGGAATGTTGCTAAGTATTTTCTCATGTCTGACTGGTTGTGCTCACCACTGTTGTAATATATTCAGAAGCCTGTAATTAAACGTACACTTCTACGTACACAGGTTATGTTGAAGGCCCTGTGGTGTCATTCACTTTTATTCCCTTCCCTTACCCAAAAAGGTTGAAGATGAGCTAGATGGAAGAACATGGTGAGTGACTGATGATTTCTTTCAAGTGAGTAACAGAGGTAAATTCCTGAAAAAGGAGGTGTTTCAGCCTAAGGAGATCATGGCCTCTACCCATGAGAAAGGGAGACCACAGTAAGCAGTTAGAGAAAAAAGTCTGCATGTTACCCACCTCTACCCACAGACATTTAGATACAGAAAATCTCCTACGACTTCTGCATTTCTGTTGTACAATTAACTGCAAAATTTCCCCTGAAGGCCATCATGAGCTATAACTGGAAGATAAAAGGAGATTAAAAAACAATCAAAATTCTTCCTTCTACTAAACAGATCAGTCATTGTCTGGCTCACCCAGTTTCTGAATATGTGATGGCATTTTGCTTGTCTCCATGTCTCAACCAGTGGTATAACATGTCATATTAGGTATTATAAATACTTACTGTATTAATTGGATTTTCTGGCTGGTAATCAGGTTCTAAAACTCTGAAATAATATTACCATGATGACACTGAGGTTAAACGGACATATTATGAATAGATATGAAGGCACATAAATGCACAGATTTCTCAGGGCTCTTGTTCTCTGCTTTTATAGAAGCCTGCATTAAGGGCTTGGACCCAAACCCTCTGAATCAAGAATACCAGCTATCTGTCCAAACAGTTTTGATTTACATTTTAGAACATATAGTAAGGAAGATATTTGGCTGCATTCAAACATCATTTCAGCTAACATGAACAGAAGTGAAACGCAGAGAATTTGGCAAAAATTATGATACATTAAAAGCCAATTTGATCTTGAATATGTTGTGTTACACAAAACTAAAACCCACACACTCTTCATTGTTTTTCAGGAAGGGAATTGCAGTGAATTTAGATCATCTCTATTTAGCTAACTCTACTACTATAGAACAGTATGCACACTTATTGCATAAGTTTCTGTTTCAGCACGTTCCTGTGCGTCATGTGAAAACTTGTAAAATAGGTAAGAAAAATGTGAGCAACAGAAACTTCTTGACCTTTGAAGAGTAAACGGTGCTGAGTATGATTTCCTTTTGCTTGGAGTGGGTCCAGAACAATGAAAAATTGACCTGGAGTGAGAAAGTCAGGCTCAGGGTGTGGAAATTGCTGCAGGGTTTACTCTGCAATGAGTAAAGACAGAAGTAAATTGGAGTTCCTGGGCATGCTGTCTGAGCTAGAATCACACACAGAATCACAAGGTTGGAAACGACCTACAAGATCATCTAGTCCAACCGTCTCCTCATCACCATTGCCACCACCAGCACTAAAACTAGCTAAACGCACTGCAGGTTGCAGCAAGCAGAAACATGCTCCGTTTCTGCCACTGCCAAATAACTGAAATCATTTGGACTTGGCTTTCATGTTGTATCACAACTGATTGCACGGTGATGATTAGCTTTTCTCTTTCTACCCTCAAAAGCACCTGCCAAAAATAAACACTATTTTTGACAGGACGGCTTCACTGAAGACCTCATCTTCCATATTTTATTATTTTTTTTTAATGGAAGCCTTCCCCACTGGTTAGCGTTTGAATAGTTTCTTCAACATTACACATTCAGATAATATTTCCTGTAAGATTTTTGTCCATGCACTTTGCCCCTGAATTTTTTATCTTTTAATTTTTTATCAGGCCATCACCCTTTTACATTGTTTTTCATAGAATCTGTGTAGCCTAGTGCCTTACTTTGCTTCCCAACTCTACATGACTGTCAATAACCTTGAGATCAGTAGGAAGGGCAAGGTGTCTCTGACTAAGAGCATGCATTTCATATTAAAAAATGAAGTGATGCACAGATAGAATAGATAGAACTGATATGAGTAACAATCATTGTTTTTTATGTAATGAAACAATTTCAGATTCTAAAGAATAGTGCTGGACTCGATGATCCCCATGTCTACCTTCCAACTAGGGATATTTTATGATTCAATGTCTATTTCAGTGTTTTGCTTTATTTAAATTACAATTCAAACTATAATACATTAAACACCACCTCACCAAGGGATATCCTGCAGTCATAAGGACATTGACCTTGCCAGAGGAAACTGTAGAGAAGAGCTGATGTAAAAACGTAGATATAGTCCAATATATTCAGTAAGATTTATTGAAATTTATTATTCTAACAAAAACTCTAGCAGTAAAAAATTTACCTAAACCAATGTCCAAAGCCCTTAACCCACCCAAGCGCCAATATTTCATCTCTTCAACGTTGCCTGTATGTATTTATAGGGAAAGAGAGCTGTCCTTGTGGATTCTTCAATGGATTGAATCCTTCAATGGATTGGGCACAGGCACAAAAGGGCATTTAGCAGCACTGATCCCTGATGATTGGGAGAGGTCTGAAAATTAAAACTGAGGTCAGATATGCAATCTAAATCAGCTTTGATTGCAAGAGAGACAGTAATATCTTCACTGTCTAGCTTGAGTTGTTCTCTCATATTATCAAATTAAGATATGAGCAGGGTGTTCTTAAGGTGGAAGTCTTGTAGTTATTCTATGAAGAATAAAGCTTTTAATCATGTTTTGCCTGCTGTAAAGCAAATCCACCATCAGTGATGATGAACCTTCTGCATGGCGGACGTGATTTGCTGACATACTGTGGAAATCTGAAAACCAAAGCACTTAAAAAGAGAATTTCACTTATCATGAATGTTTCGTGATTTTTGTACTCGCAGAATGTCCTTTAGTAACATATAAAAATGCATAATGCTCATATTACATATCATATTACACTACTGGAAATGGTTATTTGTAGTATATTTTGGCTCAAAGGTTATTTTTTCAATATATACAAATATTTTAAAATATGAGAAAAAAGATTATTTGTAATTTTATACAGCAGTAGTATTATCTGGTAATCTTGTATGTGACTGGATGAAACTGCTGTATTAAAGTGGACAATGAACAGATTTCTTAAAGTTACAGGCAAAGATGCAGTCAGTGTAATTTATAATGTATGAAAATGTAAATAATGCCGTCATGTCTACACAAATGGCTGAAATATATCTGATTTTTTTATTTCCCCTATTTCCCTCCCTTAACTTGACGCACTCTTTTGTCTGTACTGAAGTCAGTGTGTGCAGAACTCTGTAGATGGTGATGATATTCCTTGCTCCATGCTCAGCCTGTACTGTCCTTTCTTCTGGTCAAGCCACTTGCAGGTTGAAGGGCTACATCTGTCCATTCCCTTTTCCCTAATTTGACTGGTTTTGCATATGTAAAGAATTGTCTTTTCCCCCCCCCCCTTTAATCCAGCCTCTCTTGGTTTTAAACTGAGCCAGGGGAGGTTTAGGTTGGATATTAGGAGGAAGTTTTTCAGCCAGAGGGTGGTGAGGCACTGGCACAGGTTGCCCAAGGAGGCTGTGGATGCCCCATCCCTGCAGGCATTCCAGGCCAGGCTGGATGTGGCTCTGGGCAGCCCCATGATATTCTGCTGCTTATTGTATTTTTCTATCGAGTTGGGTAGACTGAAATAAGGTACAGTTTTGCAAGGAAACACAAAAACATGCTACAGTAAAACAAGTAGTGATTATATGGCAATGTAGAAGTGAAGCATTTCACCCTCTCTGTTTTTCCATAGAGGTGACAGGGAGGACTTGAGCTGTCTCAGAAGATGACCTCAGAGCTCATTTATATCCCATTCTCTGTAATTATGGCGTGGTTCTGACCTCAGTTGCATTGGTGCCCATGCGACATTTTAGCTACTTTATCTTTTCTCAAGTGACAAAGACATTTTACCTTCAGGTAAATTCTCTGCTATTCCCGTATCGGCAGTTTATCTCCTTGTTTTTGTCTATAGGTACATCACAGCTCCACTAGATGGCAGCCAGGACCTTCACAGATCTGATCCCATGGAAACCAGATCGTGGTTCCCTCCACACTTATCAGTTAAAATGCTCTAATCAATCAATGCATTCTATCATCATCTTTCCAATGAGACTCATTACATTCAGTACAGCACCAATGGACTCCACTATCCATCCTACAGCCACGACATTACAACTCTTTTTTTTTTCCCTTTCTACTTGCCTTACTTCTCCGAAATGATCACAAAGGCACTTGGAGGGCTTCCCTCACAGAAATTTCATGTGTTTTCATTAGATATCCTCGTAGAGAAACGCAAAGCTGAAGCAGGCATGCCAACTCAGGACATCCCTTAAATAGGCTGAGTGTGGATTCTGGCATGGTTGAATCTTGAGCTCGCCCCAGGTATGGTCTGCAGGCTCCTCTGCTCCCAGGTAATGGTGATTAGGGCAAGAAGTGATGGCCTTAGGTTTCAGGGGCGGTTCAGGTTGGGTAATAGTAAAAACATTCATTGGGATGTGGCACTTGGGGACACAGTCAGTGAGAAAGGTGGGGGTGGGTTTGGGGGTCTCAGAGGTATTTTCCAACCTGAATGGTTCTCTGATTCTATGATTCTATGAAAGGGAATACGTTACAATCTCTTTGGGGACTGCCAAGTCTCTTTGCATTGATGCTGGGAGCATCTGGGAGGAGAAGGGATTCTGTGAGGCTTTTCCTTCCCATTTGGGCAGATGATGGAGAAGCAAGCAGATGGCAAAGCTGACAAAGCAAAAGCAGAATCACTTGTATGTATCAATCAGTACCTCAGAGCTAGTGGCTGAGAGAAAACCACTCCTGCCAGTGTATTCCACCAAGCAGCAGGTGTGGATGCATCTTGTGTACAAGCAGCAGTATTGCTGTGATTGCAGAGAGCCCAACTGAAGCCACAAAATCCACCTGAGTTGCCAGGAAACAAAAATAAATTGAATTAAGATGTGGTCTGTGCTTGGTGCTGCAGTAGTATGGCTGTTTGTAAGGGTAGGAAATGACCTCAAAGCTGTACAGGGTGACTTGTGACAGTGGAGGATGCATGTGTTAAATCAGGTCCCCAAATCAGTTTCTTTTTCTTTAGACTTGTGACAAAATTTCTGTGTTTATTTTGTTCTACTCATGCATTTATGTTACTTTCACATGTTTTAAGGCTTTTTTTGAGAGAGGAACTTGTGGGCTCCTAGCGTGCCTGAAATGGGGCCTGAAATGGGGGATTCTGATTCTAGGAGGCCTTGGTTTGGCCATGGATTCATTTTAAAAACAAGTATTTTGGATGTTTATGGGTGGGCTCAGCAGAAAGAATGAGCAAAGAGTAAATTTTATGCTTAGAGGAGTGTTAATAGAATGATTTTCTGCATGTCACCATCACTGATTGCAAAGCTGTCATATATTCTGCAGGGGACTTAAGGAAAATTGTTCCAGTTCTGACTGAAAAAAGATTTTTCACTTTTTTTTTCTGATACAGAAAAGGCTGCAACAACTGAAGCATTGAAAACATTAACTTACTGTTCCCTTTGTAACTAAAGTTAGGTGGAATATTTTTGAAAAGTCAATGTTTTATCAAAAAATGGACTTTTTTTCTACTGATTTTGCAATCTTTGAAATGTTTTTGAAGAATTCTTGTATCCTTGGATAAAAGTCTGCACTGGTTGCAGAAAATAACTCAACCTGCTCACTTGAGGTTGCCCATGTGCTCGGGTCTCTTCTTGGAAGAGGGATTTTGTTAATTCAGTGCATGGTATTTTGTATGGTTGGTTTTGGTGTTTGGTTTTTTGGTTTTTTTTTTGGTGTCATTGTTAATGTGGAAATGGCTCTTGTAATTCTGATCAGGAAACATAGGGGTGCACTGCAGTGTTCCCTTGTGACCATTTTTATTTCTTGATTAATTCGTTGTAGATATGCTTGCTGTGGGAATGGTGTGTTCGAAGTGGGAGGACGAACCTCTTACTGTTAGATGGTCATTAGATCTCCAGTACCAGCAGCATGAATACACTTGATACCTGTTCATATCATGGCTTCCCTCTTTGAGCTATCCAGAGAATCTCAAAGTTTTGGTTTGCTTATTATTTTTTCCAGGACTTAAGCTAAATGGGCACTTATTTGTTTTGCTGGTGTGTGGCATTTGCTTTGCTTTGCTGTTTCTGGCAAGTGCCTGGGCATGGGACATGGGACATGATCACAGAATCACAGAATCACAAGGTTGGAAATGATCTGCAAGATCATCTGGTCCAACCACCCTCCCATTCCTATCAGTACCACAAGCACTAAACCACATCACGCAGCTTCTCATCCAGACACCTCTTGAACACTGCCAGGGACAGAGACTCCACCACCTCCCTGTGCAGCCATTGCAGTGCCTGACCACCCTTTGAGAGAAAAAGTTTCTCCTCATATCCAACCTAAACCTCCTCTGGTACAACTTCTGGCCATTTCCTCAGGTCCTACTATTTGCCTGGGAGAAGAGGCCAGACCCTTTTGCACCACAGCCTCCCTTCAGGAAGTTTACAGTGCAATGAGGTCTGCCCTGAGCTCCTCTTCTCCATGATGCATCAATGCCTGCACTGTCTACTCTCATCCCTCACCTTTTTGTTCATGTTTTCCTTCCCAGAAGCTCAGTGACAAAAGGGAAGTAGCTTTTAATGACTGGTCAGCTTTCAATCTCAATCTCTCTGCTTTAAAAGCTTTGGGAAAAAAAATAGAAATGCTTTTAATAAAGTAGCAGCTACTGGAACACCAGTAGCAATCTTTCGTCCCGGAGACACACCAGAGAATATAATTTAATTTCATTAATTCATAGCCTATATGTTCTCTTGCCTATTTTTATATATACACATTTTTCCCTTTTCTTCCACCCCCCACTTTCTTTTGGCACTTGCATTTATCAGCTATTTGAGAACAATTCTGATGCTTTTAGCAGGAAGCAGTGAGCAGCAAGAGAACTGCCAGAACATTGGAACCTTGACTTCTGATGCGTGATGGAGGGAAACATTTGGTGAGTCATATAATGGCATATTGAGACAAAAAGAAGCTAAATTCCTCTAATATTTTTCTGCTCTTTGCTTCACAGGTGACCGCTCAGGATTTGGTAATGTACTACATTTCTATCAGTACTATCCTTGTCTTTCTTCATAGCTGCATATTTGAGCAATGAAATATGAAAATAGCAGAAAGCAAAATGAAATAATGTTTCCATCAGAGATGACTGGAAAATTGTTTTTGGTGCTTTCTTGGCTGTTTTGAGAGGTCAGTGCATGTGTCAAAAAATCTTTACTCCATGAAAGCAAGGCGTTTTGTAAAGACTATTGATTTCGGAGAGGGATTTTTGACCTCATGCTGGAATGTTTGACTAGTCTGAAAAAGACCCAGATTTCAGACCCATCAACTGAGGTACAAATTTATCTCATGAAATCGTTTTGAATGCTTTACTTTTTCATCTTTAGGTCTCCCATGAGCTGTTGGTGTAAGGATTTACTTGACGTTGTCCTCCTTGTGGAAAAACAACAGTTCACAAATACAGGTTGCTCTTAAGCCATTTGAAACCATTGACCTGAAACTTTGATTCTGGAAGAAGGCTTCTGGAGAAAAATTTAATTATTCCTTTCCTTTTTCTCAATGAGGAAAAAATAGAGCTAATTTTTTAGCAATATAGAAATATTAAGGAGATGCACACACTTTTCCAGAATTACCTTATTTAATACTTATGTTGTTTTACCTATATAAAGATGTTTCCTTTCCTGTATATTCATTTTGCTTTTCTGTTCCTCTTCACATCTATTTATCTGAGTGCTTCTAGTCTGAGCTCTCCTGGCTCACGCTTCCCCCTTTCTGATACACTTTTCAATATTATTTCGGGGAAAAATCTACACAACACTAAAATGACTGTGTTGGGTTTTGCCTGTCCTAGATCAGAAATTCTGTTATGTATAGTTGGGTTTTGTTTGATCCAAAGCAAAGTGTTTCACAGGCTTCCTTTGTGATCAACATGTAGGCAGTGCCAAGGGATGGTCTTTTTTTTACTAAGGAAAACATTGGAGACACCCAAGATAAGGGGACAGGGCTCTGAGCACCTGATGGGGCTCTGTTCATCACAAGGATTGAGACTAGATGGCCTTTAAGGATCCCTTCAGCTCAAACAATTCTACAATTCTATGATTCTATGATTCTATGCAAGACAAGGGATCAACCACACTCCTGGTATTCCTCCCCAGTGGCTTTAAAGGAGTTCTGCCTCTAAATGAGATTCTTAATTTTTAGGTATGTGACCTTAAATGTCTAAATTACAGCATATGAATCCCAATTCCAGAACTGGGACTTCTACCTTTATTATCTTTATTTGTAAGAGTGGGTTTTCATTGTGTTGGGGTTTTTATTTATTTATTTATTTTGGGTTTGTTTTCTTTTTCCACTGAACTTTCAGAAGGGAATTGACTAAATGCTCTACTCTATCACATTCATCTCGGAAAAACAAGGCAGGTAAGATACTGAGTATGAGAAGGAAAACTGAAGGAGAAACAGAATAAAGAGCAGAGGTGCTCTGTGAGACTTTGCCGTTACAGAAGGAGGAAAAAGAAAGGAAGAAAAGGAGAAAGGCCCACTGGAGTAAGCATTAAGTGGGAGATGAAAGATCAACACAAGTTTTGTAAGCTGCCAGTGTGTGTGATATCTTGTCACTTGGATGTTTCTGACTTCACCTTGAAACCCAGGTATAATTATCATTTTTGTTCAGCAATTTAGGTGTTTATCTTAATCTCCTAGCTAGTCTGAGAACAGCACCCTAAGACAGACTGAGATTACTGGTGGGGACTATTGACACTTGTGGTAGAATGGAGATGTAGGTGTTTGCAATCTTCAGCTGTGCTATGCGGTAAAGCAAGGCTCTACCAAGCAAGCTGGATAGAGTCTGTGAGGATTCATCCAGTAGCACTGCTGCTACTATGGAAACATGCTTCTCTGTTGTTGCAGTTGAGAAAAATACGACTTTATTTTTTATGTCTTTCTGGGTGGTTAGAAGCCACAAGCAACTTTTCATTCTAGTCTCTCCCTGTAGGATCTTCTCAGGAGGATGCAAATGAAAGCATGAAGACTTCAAAGAGGCTCAGAAAAAATGAAGACAGAGAATGAGAGCACAGAAGAAACTGAAGCAGCAGAATCTTCTTCGATGAGACATTCCTTTTGAAATTTGTGCAAAGAGAATGCAGCTTTGTAAAGGGAGCTGAGCATAATCCTAAACACTGGTGAGAATGCTTGGACAATGAAGGCAAGCTGCTTAATTATATATGTAAACTGCAAAACAATTAATTGAAATGTCCCCATAGAGCGTTATTGCAGTCTCTGTCCTCCTAAATAACAGAGGGCCTGAATTAGAAGATATTCTTTGTATGTAAGTGCTGCATAGGTGACAAGAGAGATTTTTCAGAGTTGCATAATAGATTTTGATGTATAAATCACACTACATAGCAATTAAGTTAACACTGCTAATTGCTGTGGACATGTTTTAAACCTTCCACTTACACTACATTTTAAAATTTAGACATTGCTTCAGAGAAGGCTGTGGTAGCAGGAGCATGTGCAGGAAGCCTTCAGATTTGTAAAAGAGGACTTAGTGAGTGATGAAGATAAATTAGTCCAAACAAGCAAGCAAATGAAGATCTTTTAGATTCCATTAGCTATTTAGGAGCTAGAAATCAAATCTAAGCTTGTTGTGCAGATTCTCTATAGTGACTAAAATGAAATGATATCCAGAACTTCCCACCTGTATTTCATCTACTCTCTGTTAGTCACATCTCAAGGAAGATTGAGTTGATATTTGGAAGACCATAGAAACATCCTAGAAGTGTAACCTGGAAAAGGCACTTATCTCTTAGATGAGTTCAGTTCCATCACTCCTGTCTGCCCAAACCAGTGAGACAGATGTTTTCAGAATTATGGTTAACCTACATGTGCAGTTCATGGTGAATGAGAGTGGAACATGCTCAGAATCTCCAAGTACCAGAGTAGAAATGCAGAAATGAGGAAAACTTCAGATTTATGAATTGCATTCACTTTCAGATGATTGGCATTTTGCTTCTGAGCTTTCATTGACCTTAAAGTTTTATTTTCCTTAATAAAGAAACACTTATAATGTATATAAATTGAAATTTCTTCAGAAGCCGAGAAAGCCTACCTACAAAAGACAACCAACAGAAGATATGTACATTATTTATTTTCCCTAGAGGACGGGTGTAAACCAGATTAATTACTTTTGCCAAGCAGCTGCTGACAAGTTGACCTCAGCTGTTATTATAACCATTAAGTTTCTCAGAGCAAGGTCATTAATCAATCAGTTCATTAGACTTGTAATCTTGACATCTGAAACAATCAAGGAGCAGCAGATCTACTCATCTACCTGTCTATTCTTCTACCTATTTGTGTCTTCTACATAGCAAGCAATCTATCTCTCTATCATTTATCTACTCACCTACCTACTTCTCTAATAAGCAGTATTTTATAAAGCATCTTTTTAGGTGGTAATGACATGACACTCTTAAGCCAGTTGAGCATCATGGTTTTCTTTTGCCTGATGGGTCAGCCCAGTGCTATTTCCTCTCCATAGAGTGAGTTGCACGAAAATAAAAGCTGGAAGAAAGGAAACTGAAAAGAATTGGCATTCAGATGAGCTGAAGCAGAAAAGATGAAAGAAGCATAATGGAACATCAGTGTAGGGAATTTCCTTTCCATTTCTAGGAGCTTTTGTATATGAAGGATAAGCATTTTAGCTTTCTTTATGGTGCAATTAATCAGGACTTCATTACAGATTCAGTCACAAATAGGTATTGTCAACAGCTGTTTACATTAGTATATTGCATAAGTCATCTCTCTACTGAATAATCAAGTGGAGAGTCCTGGTCAGAAAAGACCCTTCCTTCCCCTTTCCATGCATGTTAGACCTGTTGTCTTCAAGGCTACTGTTCATGGAACAAGACAGTCCTCAGTGGCCAAATAGCAGAGAGGATAGTAATAAAAATAATAGTGGCCAAAGAGCAGAGAGGAAAACTCAAGAATTGTTCATATTCTGAATGTCAGCAAAGCTTTTCCATGTGTTACCAACTAATGAGAGAAAAGGACGATTTACAAAAATGCTCCTGTAAATCAAGCATTTCTCCATCAAACACCTTCCAAGAAGTGTAAAAGAGCCAATTTATTTGCTCTTTTTGTTAATGAATAATTGAAGACATTAAGGGAGGAATAATAATATGAATTTAGACCAGTTTTTATCCTTTCCTTACCTAAGTAATTATTTTAGATATTTATGCAGTCTGCTCCTATGAAAGCAATCTGTCTTCTCACTAGCAGACTTTATAACTAATGACTTTGTAACTCCCTGAAACAACTCCTGCTGAGATCTAAGTCCTTTTCTTTATGTTTTTGCCAGAGTAGATGCAAATGTGAATGCACATCTTTCCTTTTGGCAGTCACAACTGTAAAAGAATTCTTTCTCTAGTTTTATACAGACTCCTGTCTAAGAAGGAAGACAGATTTGGAAAATCCTATAAATCAAGATACCAAATGCCAGAGAGAGAAACACAGAAGTGAGGGACAAAGACCCCTCACAAAGAAACTTCAGTGTTCTGTTGTTCTTTTTGAATCAACCGGGCATGGATGATGGAAAATGGCATTGACAATAAACAGGAGTTTCACATTTATTATGCTTCCCCAGCTTTACAAAATGATTCAGGTTGATGTGATGATTGATTACAGTTAATTTTATCATCAGAGCTCTCCACTTAAATAAACAGCATATGCTTCAAGTATTTTGCCAAAGGTCCTCCTTATCAAGCATGCAATTCACTGCACCAAATTGTAAATATATAAAAGTTGCATATCTCAGTTTATGTTACTCTCTCTCTTTTTTTTTTGTAGTCCCCTCCCAGAGAGAAGTAGGCACTTACAGAAAACATTTTTTTTCTTAGCAGTAGGCAAATCATCCTGTTGTGCTATTTCTTTCTCTCCAGTGAATATGAAGAGGCCCCAGGATGCCTAATTCAGGCTTTGACAGGTAACTTGCCTATATCAGAGTAAATTGATCTTACATAAGTATAGAAAGAGCAATATAGACACAGAGTAAATTAGACTGAATGAGTCTTTTTAACTAACAAAGATGAAATCAAAAGATTTATCAAAAAATATGTTATGCTTCAATGTCAAGGGCAAGAATTAAACCCAGCTCTTCAGAGAACCATCCCATTATAATACAGAGACATAACAAGTCAAAATGTATGATTAGCTGTTTCTCCAGAGTGAGAAAAGTGAGATGTGATGAAGTGAAAAGAGAATCAGGTACTGGTGCTAAGTACAAGACTTCAGGCCAAAAACAAAACTGCCAGAAACAGAAAGAAAAACAAATGTTCTCTGAGCATCAAATTCTTTTTTATTTGTTACATTTCCTTCTTCAGAAGACAAGAGAAAACTTGTAGGCCTCACTATAATAGATTCTTAGGATAATGTACCACTGAAAGCTGTTGTCCAAAACAGACAGAACAAGACCTTCTATGTTCACATCCTACCCCATTTGTGGATAGCAGTTATCATCTCAAAATTAGTGGCCTTTTCTCAGTTTTCTGTATGAGAAGGAACTGTTACCACAGCTGTGAAGAGGTTAATGACCTGCAAATATTTTCCCGGCTAAAAGCAGATATATTATATTTCTGGACTCTAGGAACAGAATCTTGTTTACATTTGTATATTGTGTCGATACCCCCATTATTGTCAGTAGGGACACAGAGTTTGATTTAGCTGTGATTTCATAGGTGTGTGTCCAGTGATAGTGGAGATCTCCTTGGATGTCTGATGTCTGCGACTCACTGCTAGACCTAAGGGGCCAAGAGAAAACCCAAAAGGCCAGGATACATTCAGAAGAATACCTAATTCTTATGGTTCTGTGACTGAATCAAGACTCAAAGAGAGCTACTAATCTGATCCTAACATACTGGCCTGCACCTAGTGAATGGAACAGCTCTTTAGGCTCTGTTATATTGTTTGTAATGAAATTTGAGGCACTGCACATACATAGATATCTGCATTTAGAAAATTGTATTTGTGTAATTATTTAATCTATAAAAATGAGTTCCAGCTGTATGTAAGAATAACCCCACATAAAGTATCCAGAAATACATGTTTTTAACAAGAACCACTGACTACTGTTTGAAAGAAAGAGGTCTCTGCTTGCACAAGAAATGCTCTTTCAAACAAGGCTCACTATTAATAATATTCACATAATCTTTTGGCAGTAGGATTACAATCATTACCAAGTTATTTAACTGCCACCCAGACAGAGATCATTAATCTATGAAGCAGCTTACCAAGTATACCTAAAAGGTTGCTGAGATAATCCATACCGATTATCCACCAACAATTCCTCACTGCAGTTGAAAAATGGATACAAGGATATGCATATAAAATTTTTAAGTCTTATAATTTCCTTCCTGCTCCTTCCTGCAGTAGATAAACTTGCTTTTTGTCCAAATGAACATTTCGGGATCTAATCTTTTAATCTGTAAAAGAGCAGAAGTTTTTCTTGTACTTATTATTGGATTTAAGCCAGTGGATAGAGAAAATTCTGACAAGTTCCCTCCCAATAACTTGCAGTACTTTGAGAGCTAAAGTTCTTAAGATACTTAACTATAAGAAATTTAGCCTCTGAGGCAGTTCTTGCTTTAAATTAGTCAAAGCTCACTATAATTTCAATTAGTACTCTTGAATTCTGCATACACACTAAATTCTGGGAAATATGATGAGGAAGTAACTTAGGATAATTCAATGATGATGTAACACGTCATATCATTAATTTTATACATTGATTAATAGTGCCCATAGAACCTCAGCAATTATTTCACATCTGTGGCTGCTATGATATAGTGCAGTCTCGGAGAAATGAAGGTCCAAGGGACAGTCATATGTGAATAACTCATTAGGATCAGTCATTATTTCTGATTGTGTAGCCACAATATGTTTGTTTTCCTTAGCAGGTCCTAAAAATTTGAGCAGTTTGGGTTTTTTATGGATCCATTTTGGAAAATATCTTTCTGCCTTTCTTCAGGTAGAGAAATACAGAATTATTATTAGTGAGGACAGCACAAAGAAAGCAGAAAGGAGACTGCTCTTAAAATAGATACTGAACGACTGTTGTTGTCATCCCTTTTGTTTGTGCAGTAGTACAAGGTTGTATTATTTCTTCATGTTGGCAGTTCTTTAGCAGCATGTAAGAGAATAAGATAAAGCATATACAGGCTACATAGAAATGGAGAGAAGAGGAGAGGAGAGGAGAGGAGAGGAGAGGAGAGGAGAGGAGAGG